TGGGCTCTCGGGCTATCAAAGCGAGATCCTCCTCAACTTCCTAGAACGCTACTCCGTACTTCAGGAACGGTCAAACTGAATACTGATGGAGCTGTCAACCAAGCAATTATGGAAGCGTCGTCTTCCGTAACGCTGATGGCGATTGGCTAACTGGGTATCATCGCAACTTGGGGTGTTGCTTAACCATTTATGTGGAAATTTGGGCTCTTGCAGATGGGCTTACGGTCCCTTGGGATAGCTATTTCAGGAAGATCGATGTGGAAATGGATAATAAGGAAGAGGTTCGTATCCTGTCTTCCCCTGCCTCAGCTTTTGACGCCCGCTCTAATGCGCAGAGTTCGGAATCTTATCCACCGAAATTGGCATATCAAGATTACGCATGCCCCTCGTGAAGAGCTAATGATGTTACGGATGTAATAGCTTATTTTGATCGTATGATAATGCTAGACACGATAAACCTTGTTGACCCCGCTAATATTCATCGTCTCCTCCACCGTGATATGGATAAGTGGAGAAGAAGAACTCATTGCTGATAATGCAGCCTATCTTTGTAACCAAAAAATTAAAATACTTTGGCAACTTTTTCAACAATATATTTTAACAATGCAGTCCTCGGATTCGTCTGTTCAGTTATAAATTTGGATTTTGGTGGATATCTGGAGCTGAGGTTTTGGATTTTCTTGGGCTTAGATTCTGTTCGGTTCGAATTCTTTTGGGTTGAATTCAGATTAAAAAAAAAATCTTAGATAGATGTTAAAAAATTTCTCAATTTACGTTAAAAAACGCTTTCTGAACCAAACTTTTTTGAGGAATTGATTGAAACTAATCATAGTGAATGCCAACATATGTACGGAGCAAACCCAAATGTAATAATTAAAATTAAACTCTCAACAAATTAATATATTTTTTTCTTTTCAATTTCATCAATCATTTTATCCTTCTTTAAACTCCAAGGAAAACACAACCATTTGGTACCCATGCACCAAGAGCTTGGTGCATGTGTTTTAAACACAAAAGATGGCTTGTGATGCACTCACTAATCCAAGGGAAGAGTCCAAACTAAGTAAACAAAAAGACAATTAAAAATAGTTAATGCACTAAAAAGTTCTCTGGGGGAAAGTGACTGAAAGTTAGAAATAGGGTTGGTTTGGGGATTTGATTCTGAGTTCTAACACCCTAAATATAAGTTCCTCTACATTTTAAGCTTGGGTTTATACCCTTAAACTTGATATTATAATCCAGTTAGTATAAACAGATCACAAGTTTGGTAGTTCGAAGCCGTTTGTTTTTCTCCACCAAACTGAACTCGAATGTACCTTGACATTTTTTTATACGTAAGAATTATGGTAACTTGAGAACAAAGGCAGTCATAGCTACCCAATATAACAAACCAAATAACAATGGTTGCATTTCCCTTCAACTACAGGTTTTCTTTGTTTGTTTGTTATTTCATTGTCTAGAATCATGGAAAGATTTGTTCTTCTTCCCTTTGGATGTGTTTCTGAATCAGGTGTGGCGGTTGCTGGTCAGCAGCAGCAATCTGGAAGATCAAATTCAAAGCTTGCAGATACCCGTCCACCTTCTGCAACAAGTCTTTTTCTCCAATATTTTCTTTCCTTTTGTTTGGTCTCTCTTAGAGGACACTAACAAGGTTTTGATTTGTACTTTGTAGGAGCACGACATGAAGAAGAAGAAGAGGAAGAAGATAAAGAAAGTTTATCCATGAAGTCCGACGTAACTGGGTTTCATAAACTGTTCAAGGGTTTCAAGACATTTTCACATTTATTTGGTAAGCTAAGTCCATGTCTAGCATTTGTTACATCCCAAATTAGGGATGGACCGAAGGAGTGTCGAGGTGTGGTCGTACTTTGAAAATTTCAAATTATCATACAATTTATGTATTTTATAATTTTCTAAATCTACATTCTCTAACATAATTCTCTAACATAAAATTATGTGTCTATTCCGGTTTGAAATCGATTTTGTTATCTTTTGTTTGGGTGTCTTAGTGTACAAGGAAGAGACGGAATATTCGGAGGATGATATGGAAATAGGGTTGCCAACAGATGTAAAGCACGTAGCACACGTAGGATTGGACGAATCTCCATCAAGCAGCCCCAGCATGAGCATGAACACGGGCAGCTGGGATTATCTTTTCTTGCCTCAATTACACCTCTTCACTTTCCCATCTGATCCTTCATCATGTGAAGCCATCGAAACACAGGCAGCCGTTCGATCTTCTACTTGAAACAAACCAAAATGTCATTGGCAAATCATATTATTGTTGTGGTGGGATATGATTATATTTAAGTGTCTAAGAAATGGTTAAAACTGGAATGAATTTTTCTCTGTTTTTCTACTTGATTTCATGATTTTGTAGTTTTATACGCGACTAAGATTAACTGTATAAAATAAGGAGATTTTTACGAAAATAAAAAAATTATTTTCAATTTAAAATTTTAATCTTAGTTATTAAATTCAGTTAACCCAACTATTCAAAAAATCGTATAAAAACTTTACGTGATGTAAATGGACAAATACGAAACAAGACAATAATGTACACATGAATTTTCATTTGTGTTTACATAAGAGAAAGGTAACGAGAGGTGTTAAATAGAAAACTCTACTTGAAGTAGTAAGGAAGGTTCAAGACATAAAGGAGGAAGTAAGCCCAAGTGACAACCGAAATGCCACCAAAGAAAAATCCACCGGTGAACTTAGCCCATCCATCAGCGGTTTGCAGCTGATCCGGCTCCTTCTTCCGCCCGGTCAACGTCAAAGAAGGTGTGGTCGACGGCTCTCCTTCCTTAAACAAAGCGACCCCATACATGGTGAGGCAAATGCTCAATATAACAACAAGGCCTGCAGCTGCCAGACTCCCTGCTCCGCCAGCCACCGGTGTGTTCCTCAAGGGCCCTGCTTTCACAAACGGTCCCACCAGGAGAAATCCATGAACCAGCCCTACCTCCACACCTCTAAGCGGGCTCACCGCTGTCCTATATGCTGGAAGATTGGACTAGTACCAAGCTATCAAGGGGCTTGATGTTATAGGGGTTTCTAGGCTTCCAATGAATGGATCTCCATTGATGGGTTGTATCACTTGGTAAGTTGGCTGCAACATTTAAAAACATGATGACACAGTCTGATAATCGGAAAGAACATATCTTGATCGAAATTTATTATGTGTTGAACGTACCCTTTCGGATTGAACGCCTTGGATGGCGAAGGAAGATTGCCTCCTGGAACTAGAAGGCAAGATTCTAAGCGAAGAGGAGAGACCCTTGGGAGAGAGCAAGGCCCGTGGAGTTGGAGGAGTGAAGCTTGACTTTAGACTGGCCATGGGGGAAGCAGCTGCCATGGCTATATGTTATCTGCTAATTCAACAAGGGAAAACAATATATGATAGCACAAAAATGTTAGCCAATATAAGGTTTTTGAGAGGCAAGCATGGCATGTGGCTGTTCATGCACACAATTTTATAATTTCACACCCCTAAGTTTTTAAAATAACTTCTTAAATTGGCACCCCTAACATAAAATCATGCATCCGTCTACTCCCGTGTTTTCCCTCAAACCAAACCAACTCTATTCAAGTTTATTAATTAGCTAGTGCAAAATCATGTTTTAGGGGGCACAGTTCGACTAGTATAAACTGGAAAACTTCCAACTTTGTTTAAACAAACTTGTATACATTATTTAACAGTCGCTAACCCTATATGAAAAAGTGAAGACTAACATTCATTCAAAGTGAAAACATACAAAGTGTACCGAAATTCACCGACCAAACAACACTATGTTAAGGTTAGTTTCTACCTGGACGTTGCTGAACTAACTGAATAAGCCTAAGAGGTTACTTGTTGAGTTGCAGGAAATTAACTATTGCTGCCTTGAGAAAAAGAACTCGTAATCTGGGTGCCTGTTAACCGGTGTCTTATTTCCCTTGGTAACAACTGCCCTTGCCATCAGAGATGCGGTCTCCTTGAGCGTTCTTAATTTCTCCTTCAGCATTCCGGATAGACTTAGGCCCTGGTTTTCACAAGTATCATTCGTTGCAGAGTGCCTCGGCTGGAACCAGCATTCACCCTGTCCAAGTGAGGAGCATTTCTGATTAAATAATCCATCATCTTTAAAAATAGATGCATGTCATATGCAAATTGCAGCAGCAAAATCGAAGTTAATAACTAACCAAGGAGGCAGTGATAAAATTAGGGAGAAGATACGCTCTGCACGTTAGAATGAGTCTAGGACATTCTTTATTCATGATTAACAATAGAAGTGAACACGGAATCAATAATTTCATGAGATATTACACTATATTATAGGAATGAAATATATATTTTTATAAGAATAGGAGGCCTCATTAAAAACCCCCTTCTTAACTTTCCGTTCCCCTACAAAGGAGAATAAACAATCAGCGGAAGGAGGAAAAGAGTGCCTCAAGTTTTATTAAAATAAGGGTTTAAATACCTAGCATTACTCGGCGGAAGGAGGAAAAGAGTGCCTCAAGTTTTATTATATGAGATATTACACTATATTATATTACCTAATTTCAAAACAAAGAATTACATAGCTATCTCTTTAGGTTCTTCTAGGTTGGGATTTTCATGTGTGGATGTAAAACTCAAACAAGGCAGCCAAAAACCCTTTATGTCATTGGAGTAGAACTAACAAAATTGCAAGTCTGCCTATCCTAGTCAAGGATTGGTCAATGAGAATGGTAAGCTAACGGAAATAGAGCTTGAATTTGAAATACATCAAAGCTCAGTTAGGAAGGTTTGTCCAATCAAAGTTAAGTAGGCCACAAAGAACAACTTAAATGCTGTTCAAAGGAGAAAAAATGAGCCCCAAAAAGCCACCTAAAGTATCAAAGTTCATATTCAAAATGATAGCAATTGAGTTATTGTGGGTACCTGAGCATTGCAACTCTGAAGACCTACAACAGGAGATACTACACATGCATCCACACTAGGGTAATCATCAAACTTGGAACTTCTACGAACCAAATGGCCAAGAGAATGGTAAGTCAAAAAGGCTGCACGGAAATTCCCATCCGGAGTTTTTAAATAGGATACCATGCAACAGAATACCTGAAATATAGAAGCAAGCAAGCAAACATTACAAAACATATAGGTATATCTAGATGATACAGAACTTTCATCTTATGTTATCTAAAACAAAACCAAAACATGTTTCATATTTAGTTAAGCATATTTTTATCACTAACCATGATTGAGGATGCAAATCATGTATATCTATGTTGTTCAAATAAACTGGATCCCCATACATTTAGCACCGAGGAGATACATCATCTCTAACCAGGTCTTGTATCCTGAAACAAACAGAATCACAATCATGGTATTTGAAAAGAGAATTGTCACTTCATTTGCAAAATGGAACTTGCCAAACCTGCATCTTCACCTGTTGCCCCACCATTCAATGTTTGTTTACTTTTAATTAAAACAGCCAGAAGAAGCACAACAATGGCATAAAACAAACGCAGTTACGCACACCTAAAACTTACAGGCTAAAAGAAGTTTTCTACTGCATTCAGCCTACCATTCTCTCTGAAGCAAGTGCAGAATGTTCACGATTTCACTTATCAAATATGTTATAGGTCAAGGATAGTAAATGTAAAGTTTTATGAGTATTTAATATCAAAATATGTATCTATGCAATCAAAATGACAAACTATTACATTCATGCTTAGCAGATCTCAATGGAGAATAGGGGAGAGGGATGAAAGTAGATTCCACCTGGGGAAGAAACTTAATGCATAACATGACAAGAGCCGTGATTAACACTTACTTTTCATATAATGTCCGTCTTTGTTGAGGTTGCTCAGATTCAAAGTACTCAAAAGCCAGTTCAAGACAAACAGACCGCGTAATGTCAACCGATTTTACAGGCAACACATCTTCAGGACAAACTGAAGATGGTTCTGATCTAACCACATCATTTACTTGCAGCTGATTACTTGGTTCTGCAGTGCAAGGCTGTGGAACAAGTACTGAAAATATTGATCGGTGACCAACAGTAGCAGAGTTTCTTGAAATGGAACAAGTATCAGAATCCCCGGAAATACCAGGAGAAGAAATTCTGGTGTTATTCTGTGTGGAATTATTTGTACTATTCCTGAAGAGTTGAACTGCTGACAAGTATGGAACAAAGTAGGCATGAAACGCAGATTGATCAATACCCAATCGTTCTGGATTTTTATGATCTTCTGCCCTTATTTCTAATCCATAGCTTCCATGTTTCTCATACCACTTCCAGAGGCATCCTAGTGGGATGTTCGGTGTCTCATGTCTACACAATAGAGCACTAGGACCCTGGTCCAACAAGCAAGTTTGACAGCCTACAGAACTGTATGAGTGACAAATAGCTGGAGAACAAAAATGAAGAAGCCTTTCAAACTCGGCAATGGGACACCCAGTGACCATCTGAACAGCTTCAGATGCCATTTGTGCCCTATATGCATCATTCAATGCCTTTGTTATCTTGTTTAAATCAGTTGCCGCTGCTGATAAATCCTGTTCTTTCGTGTCATCATCAATAAACACATTACCCCCAATATGCTTGCTTTAGTTTTCATTTTCATTTACACAAGAACTGAGATTCCTCAATTTTCGAATATGGTTCCTACTTTCAATAGAACTAATTTCATGTCTCAAATCCTTCCCAGTCCGACACAGTGTTCCAAAAGTAATGGAAGACAGATTTTCAGAGCAAGGATTAACTCTCTTCAAAGGTATTTTTGGAAATCCAGGCTTCAGCATCTGGCTCATTGGTATGCTCCGAAGACAAATTGGCAGATCTAACAGATGCTTTCAATCCACAATCCTTTATCTTAATAGGTATCCATTTCTGCAGAACAGAGCCCAAATTATGGCTTTGCTTACCATTTTCAGCAAGAGATATTCCTTTTTCTGTTTGAGCAACACCATTCACCATCAGATGGGATAGATAAACTGGACTTTGCACCTCAAACAAGTTTGGCCGATCCAAAGGGACAAATGATTTTTGCAGTATGTTGTTTTGGTTCTCTATGCATATATTATTCAAACCAAAAACAGTCCCACATACAGTGTCACATACAGTGTCACATGGTTCTATGCCGCTTGGACCTGCTTGAAAGTTGTCAACTGATTCAGATTTCATGGTCCCAACCCTTGGATAATCAACCTGCGAAAAAGACCTTAAAAGATTATTAGTTAATCCATTATCATCCTCAGTATTTGAAACATCTAATATTTCATGTTTTGGCAAGCTAGTCTTTGAATGAGCATTTAAGTTTACCTTGTTCGGATGAGACTCCTTCCAGGAAAAACTGTTTTTCTCTTTTGATGCTGGACTAACTTTTCTTTTCAACTTCCTAGGAACCTTACTTTTTGACTTCTTGTCGTTGGTAATAGATAAGGTTGTTGCATTGACAGCATTAGTATTCCTTTTCAACGCAGGAACATCCTTTAAAGAAACATCAAACTCTGAGGAAAAGGGACTTGTTTTCTTCAACTCAGAGTTGCATTTCTCTACGGCTTTCTTCTGAACCCTTTGCCAGACAAAATGACTGTTTTCTGTTCCACTTCGACTATTATGGTTTCCAATATTTCCAGGTCTGCAACTACCAGAACTCACAGGAACAGATTTAAATTGCTTATCCCTCTTGCTTGAAGCAACGTTTCGTCCATGAAGGCAACTATCAGCCAGACCATGCTTGCTTTCCTCATATAATCATGGGTTTGTACAGTGCTAAATAATGTGTTTTGTTGATAGGAGGACCCCTTCTTGGTACCAGAAACTGGTCGAGGATGTTCTTGTTAAATGGCTTTAGAATAACAGCATTTGTACTGTCTTCATAGTTCGAACCAACAGAAACAGAGTCCAGAGAATCATGCACATCAGAGAAATCTTTCGGTTGTAAATCTTCAAGAGAGCCCATATGAGAAAGATGTTTCCCCTCCTTATCTCCTTGACACCTGGAAGTTGGTAGTCCTCACAGCCCATTTCAGACTTATTTATATGATGCTCCCTCGGGAACTTCTGAACTTCAGAGGGTACAACAAATTCTGATATATCCACTTCATCAATGTCAGATGTGCTTATATTTGGTGAACCAGAACTTGTAACAGCGACACTGCTGCTGTCTGCAAAATCAATTACATTAAGCAAGCTATCAAAGGGTGGAACTTCAGGTGAAGTTGCTATGATACTACTATACTACAATTTATATCATTATTACCTCAGATTTCAGATGCTGAACTTCCATGGGTATACTGAGAGTAAACTTCTGATTCTGTGAAGCCAACATCACACGACTGTTTCTTTTTATGTTTTCCCTTCTTTTTGCCCTCTTCTGTGAATTTCTCTTTTTAGACTTGTCTTCCTCGGAAGAGTTGATGAACATGGCTGATGGATTAGTAGCATTAAATTCTTTTGATATAACTGCAGAGGAATCATAGCAAGTGATGAAACTATTATAGGAAGAATTGTTTGACACTTCATTAAATTTAGTTCCTTTATTAGCAAAGGCCTTGTTGTGAAATCGATATTGGACATTGGATCCAGAGAAACTTCTGCTTCTAAATGACTTGGCAGGATAAGTAATCGCAGGTCGAGGCCCTTTCTGCATCTTCCGTCCATCAACCATAAATGAATTGATAGAAGCAGAGGAGATCAGATGCAGGTCATTCATATTCTCCTGATTTCTAGATCCGAAATGGTTAGTGTGATCAAAATATTGCAAGGGTAGTGCAACAATTCTCCATTGCCCATCAGATTCAACCGTAGATTAAAAGCAGAAGACCCAGTCAAACAATCAAATAGATAGTGTCAAATCAAAAATATAAATGTTATGCGCATCAGAAAATGAGCAAGAAGGAAAATATATGATTATTTTCCAGCAATAAATGTTGCCAATCAGGAATTACCAAGTTGTTTCATCAACAGAAGGCACAATACAACAGAAATTGAAACTCTAAATCCTCATTCTTTACCCTCAACGTATCCAAGTTCCAACCATGACTTTAAGTCTTTAAACATTTTACCCAGTCCAACCATGTACAAGCTGCTCAAAGGCTCGTCTTAAGACTCTACTGACAATTAGAATATTCATGCCAGAGAGCTTATATTCAAGCAGTAAATATATTAAAGCATGGTCAGCACAAAGATAGTAAACTCGCGTAGATTTTTGAGATTACAACCAAGGGACAAGATGTTGATTTTGAATGTAAATGACATCCAATGTCGGGATCAAGCCCTTAATTACATTAATCTAGCATGATATATCAACAAGTAAACAAACTAAACATGTTTCCCGAATCATAAATGTACCCCTAGTAGAGACAGATGATTGAAAATTTTAAAAGAAAAAAACCTAAACATTTCTAGCAAATCTTCACAAATTTTTTACACAACTCGAGTTACATTTATAATCAGTACAGAGAGAACTGAAATTTTCAAAAAAGTATTTGTCAAGTCTTTGTGAATGATACATAATTTGTATTAGCAGGTGATTTGGAAGAAGAAAATAAATTCATCTAAATGTTCTATACAATATTAAGAAATGAGCAAATATCTAAAGAGGTAGGGTATGTCGGAGGTTTCATATAATTTCCATGTTTGGAATATCTAAAGAGGTAGGGTATTACCAGTGGCTTAGTTGACTTAAAGTAAATGACACCAAACGCTAGTTAAGTTTCAGTACGCCCTTATATTGAAAACATTTTAAGCAGATAATTTCTAATTTCCTAAATTGTAAAGAGACTCCAATCCTCTAACAAAACAAAGATCTAGCAAATTCATGAATTTGAAAAAGATAAAGAAGGCCATTTTTCCTGAGCTTGATTTCCATCTTTCCAACTAAATCATGTTTAGGTTTCCAAGTGCAACCTAAAGCAGTTTTTGATGAATCATATTTTATTTGATGATATAGAACATGCAAGTAGATTCATACATATCTAACAACAAAAATTGAATCACCGATTCACCTCTGGTCAATGTTCCTCAAATGGAAAGAAGAAATTCCAGAAACCCGAATAATTTATGGATAGTTATATGGAAAACAACTATTCAAGCTAATCACAATGCAAAAGACTATGACTTAACAATTTAGTGTTGGCATAGGAAAGTATCTAACATCTGATGATCTTCTTGAACCATTAAGCTGCAAAGAATTCTTTGTCCAGTTAGCCTGTCCTACCTCTGACACTTTCTCACTGTCTAGATGGATTTGTTGAACGGCACAAGGAATCTTTTGCTGTATCCGTCCAAGTCAATAACAAAAACATATGAATGGGCAGCCTTAAGAAGAACTCATGAAGAGTACTCCACGCAAAAGCTACATTTCATATCAAAGTTTTGCCAGACAAGTTATAGAATGAACATCTGTTTATAAAACCTAAAAGAAATATGACAATCAACAAATTTCAGTCAAACAAAAGCTCTCAAAAATACCCAGATACAGCGACTATTCCAACTCAAAATATATAGAAGAAGAAAGCATAAAACTCAGGAATGGGGGTATAAGGGGAATAGGGATTGGATAAACTATATGTATTAAAGAAGCTGATGAAAAAGACATCTTAGAGCCATTCAATGAACTCACTTCTACTGACGCACTAGTGATCTTCAGAAAGTTCAAAGTATAAGCAATCATAAACTGTCTTTTATGGAAAAACAATAAGAGGAAAACTGGTGCCGTGGATAACTCTTCCTTGAAATTAATTTTCTCAAGGCAAATTTGGAAAGTGTTAAATCATTTTCGTTTCTTTGCTAAATAGTGAAATGGATTTCCTTTCAAACCAAATTTCACTTTTAGTTCTCATATCATAAAATGGGAAGATTCTGGACTGAACTGAAGCAGAACTAGATCATGTGAGTCAGTTGAATGCCCGCGGCGAACAAATAAAGGAATAAAATATCAGGTTGGAGCAGGAAAAGTTGCAATGTTAACAAAGGGCAGTAACTCGATAAAAAAATCTATCTGATTCAAAACCACTAAAGGTCACATAAACCATAATGTATCGCCATGTGCAAGAGAGATGTCAGGGTTAGAGGAGAGCGGTCTATTCACCACCACGATCGAATCCCCCTCAAAGTCGACCTCGATCTAACCATTTTCTTTTGCAAGTTATATTCCTGCGATAAACATGTCATTGAGCAGGACCTTGGCAGCAACTTCAATCCATTCTTTAGGCAAGCTAAATTCTTCCTCAAGGATTTCTCTTACAGAGGGGCACTCCTTGAGGGCATGAAAAAGAGTTTTTTGCTCTGAATTACAAGGGAGACATGAACCACTGACAACACCCGCAATTTCATGCTTACCACCAACGGGGCGTGGTCCATGACAAATTTTCCAGTCAAAGACTTTAACTTTGGGAAGGGTAGGGAGTTTAACCAAGTGGTTCCAAATTTTCGACGTGTCCCTCTCTTGAGGGTCATCACGGAAGATATGTAAATGTAAAATTATTAATTACTGAGAATGTTGTATTTTTTTATTTGATTGATTTAATAGAAATGTAATATTAACATATTTTGTTAAAAAAATTAAATATTATTAAAATATATATTTGACTAAATTGTCTTTAATATATATTTGTTTTTTTAACAAGTTGAAAAATATTTATATATTTTCTTTAAAAATTTAAATTCATAAAATTTATATAATTTTTTTACAAAATTGAAAATATAAAAAGTTTAATGAAAGGGAAAAATTTTATTTTTAACCCTTGAATTTCATATAAAATTTTAATTATAGTTTTTTTTTGTAAATCTAGAATAGTTTAAAAATAAATTTGTAATTTAACATTCGTAGAATTTTTATTATTTAATGATAGAAGAATGATATTTTTGAAAAAATTTAAAGACATTTTAGTCCAAAACGCCGATAATCCAACCAAACGCCCCTAAGAAGCGAATCATACCCCGATTTAGTATTATATGTGCCGGAGTTATGGCGACTTCACACCAAACAGTCTTCATTGTTGAGTAAATTTAAAAGATATACTTTATACATAAATTATGTTCTTTCACTCATATCGAATGTATAATAACAATAAAAAAAACTATAAAAAAGATTAATAAAATATACAATGCAGAAGGAGTTTAGGTAGTTGCTCAGTTATCGTGGCTGAGTTGTGGGTTGTTCATGACATCTTATGGCATGCATGGAGATTATGTTTTAGAATGGTGGAAGTTGAAACAGATGATGTCGAAGTTGCCCGGATATATAATGATAGATCTGATGCTCTTGCTGGTATCACGTTAGTTGGTGATCTGAAGGAGCTTTGGGATCGGATCTGGGCCACGAGGATGACACATGTGAGAAGGGAACAAAATAGGGTTGCAGACAAATTGGCGAGGATGAGTAGAAGGCACGATGTAGGGACTCAAGTGTTCACAGTAGCTCCGACAGAAGTGATGAATTTGCCGCAGAAGGACTTGTGTGAAACTAGTTAATTTCTTCCGTCTTATCATAAAAAATAAAATATACAATGCAAATCATTTAGAATTTTTATAGTGACATAAATGTTAGAGTTAGAGTTAACGTTTGGGTAATTAGAATACAATCTATAGTTTGAACGAATGTGGCATCCACAATAAGCCTATGTTAATGAGTTAACATCGGTGTGACCAAAATGTTAATATCCTAAAATTTGAGTGGTTAAATTAAAAAGATTTTTTTATTAAAATGTTAATACCCTAAAAGTCGAATAACTTTTTAAAATTATGTATATTTTATTGTTTAAGGTGTTTATATCTTTCGTCAAAGCGAGTATCAATCATTTTATTTCATAATTATTTTAAGGTTGATCAATTATGTTTGTTAAAAAATTATTATCAGATAAATTTTTAACATGACGTTTCATTTTCCTTTGTTCTAGATTTCATTTTTCACTATTTCGTTTTATTTTTCTTTTAATTTTGTGATAATTAAACAGAAAATAAATGAAGATAACAAAATATCACACTTTTATGAACATAGTTAGGAGCTTAATGAGTTGAGCGGCTCGTGAGTTATTCGAATTCTACCCTATCAAAATTCGGTCAATGCTCAATTCAGATTGATTCGACTTTAACTTGAACTCGACTCAAGATCTTAAAGAGTTGAATCGAGTAACGTCCAACTCGAATCGATAACTTCGTGAGCAATTCATTAACTTTTTTTTTATAATTTTGTAGTAATCACCTTACAATATTACTCCATTTTTAAAAAAAGAAAGTCTAAACAATAATTACTAATTTATCAATAGTTAAGAAGAAAGATGTTAAATTATTAATTAACTAAACTATTAGTTTTCTAATAAACAATAAAACATATTAAATTATTAATTAATGATTTTTAATTTACTACACCCAAAAATCAAACTCTAATTATCCTACTAAATTTTTTTTGGTTAGCTTAATAAATAAGGAGTCGAGTCAAGCAATAAGTTTTTCTAAAGAATATGAGTCGAGAAATTTTTTGATAAACTTAAAGAACAAAGAGTCGAATCGAACAACAATTTTTTTTAATAAATACGAGTCAAATACTATTTAACTCGTGATCGACTAATTCGATAAACACCTCTATTCATAATCTATTCGACCTCCGTTCAAGCCATCATCTCTTTCACTATCAAGTTCAATCTATACTATTTCATTCCCAATTTTTTTAAATAAAAAAATTCTAAATTTCAAACACTTTAATTTCGATTTTTATCTTAAATTATAACCTCAACTTAATACAAGATTTTTTTTAATTTCGTATTTAATTAAATTATAACCTCAACTTAATCCAAGAA